AGATCCATTTGCCATGGGATAGGTGAGGAGAATTACTGCTTATTTTTCTTATGCAGTTGAAATCTTAAACTGAAGGCTCTCTCTTTGGGAAAAACGGAATGCGGCCAGTTTAAAAATGAATTTCATCAGTTTTATCAAAAATGAAATATGCTCTGCACTGTTCCCAATGCAAATGTCGACCAGTAAATAAAAATATCAGTTTCCATTTAGATTAACGGGATTGTGTGCGTGTATTTGAATAAAGGTCCATAATCCCCCATATCTTCCATTAAACCTGAACAAAGTTGTCATTGCGTTTCGATGTCTGATGCAGGTGTTTTTAATCTGGTCCTTTCTCTTTCTTGGCCACCAGCATCTGTCTCTCGGTTTTAGTAATAAACCACCAGTGACCTTAAGGGAAACAAATTTGTGGCACTGGTATAAAGGAGTAGATCTCCTGAATATATCCGTATCTTTACTCTCCTCTTTAAGGGCGCAGAGATATCCTCAGTCTCATGAGAGACCTTCATAAGATTCAACGTATTCTTGCCTTTGAAGCTCCGTTCCTGAGTTTTCACTCTATAAAGTCTGCGTGACATGATGCATTATGTTTCTTGGTTCATATGATTATTGAAAGGATCTTTATTCATCAGCAGTTCGATTTTCCGTTCGCTTAATTTTACATTGCGTTAATGTTATTCCTTTCAGGGGGAACAATTTTTTTCCTGCATTGGCAAATCGCCTTCACTCGATTTGGCCTAATTTTAAACAGATAACGCAAGTAGTGGTGCATCAGGACTACATTCGCGATCCGTTCAATTTCGACATCGCAGTTGGCAAAATTTATTTTTCCGGAAAAGTTCTGCCGGGCATGCATCCGACTTGCCTCCCGTCTTCTTTATATGACCCCGAAATTCCAGGTTTACGCTTTTATGGTAAGACGGAGTGTTGACATGCGTGTGAATTCGTGAGCTTGTCCTTTCGCTGTTTTACTGACTGTGTTGCAGGAGCTGCTGCCCGTACAAGTACAACGCTTCGTATTCGAAACGTGTCAAGAACATGCTGCCCCTGTAATTCAAGAACAACTCTCTGCCTTCTACGCAGTGAATCAGACGTAGAATCGGTGAGCACACTCTTTTGATTCGATTTATTTCTTAAACCGAGCAGCATGCAGCATTCATACGGCGGGCCAAAAGAGTGGGCCCTGTATTGTTTAAATCGATGACCTTACAACACACCACTCTATTCCACACCGCAGCATCATTTGTGTTTTATGCACTTGGATTACTGTCAATGCAGTGACACGATCTTGAGCACTCAGATTAACTAAGGCCGTGCGGACTATTAGTATTTCAAATCTGTGTGTTGTATATATCCCCTTAAATGTCCAGCGACATCCACACGAAGGATAGTTGAAGATGACGCTCTCCTCCTTTTCCAAGGTTAGTGACACTAGAAAGTCCCTGCAATGAGTAGACCAGCTGCAGAACAAATGAACGTCATCCAGTGAGAACTGCTTTTTCAGAAGCATACTTAACACCACCATGCATGAACCGGTGGCTTCTCGAGTCGACCATCCCGTACTGCCACGTACTTGAGTGAGTTTTTCATATTATATATATCTTAACAGGTCACATATGACAATTCATTAGGTAGAAATTTCGAATTTCTCGTAGTCTCCGCATTCTGCCGTCGCGTTCAATAATTAGAGTTCTGTGGATGTTCAGTTTCGTCATTATGTGTAGCAGATGAGGTGGACTTCTAAATCTCATGGCATTATATTAATAAAACATATAAATGCCTATCTCAGTAAATTATTTCTAAGTATATTTAGTGAAGTCAAAATGGTTTAAGGTGGGCAAAGATTTGCGTATTGCATAACAAATATAGTCAGGAAAGTGAATTGTACTGAGACGTTTTTCGGCGGGGTGCCATAGTCATAGCCAAGGTATGGAGGTGCTGAAAACACACCGGACACTTAGCAAATATCCCATAAACAGCAGAAGATGGCCATTGCAACATATAGTGCTACGGATAAATCGGTCGTGAGTGATACTAACGTTGCGTTCCACTGTCCAGCGACTGCCTTTAGGCTGTGATAACAATACCGGTAATGAATATGTGAATACAGAACAGCTTACTTCAAGGATTTCACTTTGAAAACAGTGGATTAATTCATATGTAAGCGTGAATTCCCTGAGACGTCACATTCATTGCCTTCCCCAGGTTGATTGACGGACTTGCGCAATGATTCCTTATGATAAGCTCTTTATTTCCGCCGTAGGTTTTAATGACGTTAGCATCATCATTGTTAAGGTTGTTGCCGTTTTCAAGGTTGTGGACGAACAAATCTCGGTATATAGCATAATTATTTTAATAGCATGTCTGTGCTGTCACAATTGCGGTTAACATAAAGCACTCGACTGACTCTTCTGCTAAAGTGAAATCCGGGAATTGATTCAAGAATCTGCTGTTGTCAATGGTTGTG